AATTTGGGTTAGATGACGATGGTGTCTATGACGAAAAAGAAATTGTGGATTATCCATATCTCCCAAACGGTAGTATTAATACCCTTCGATCTCATCACGATCGTTTTCTTCATTTCATGATCTCATGGTGGTTTTGACCATCAGTGGGTAGGTATTCCACACTACGTATTAGAGATTTATGGTGGATGCACTGTATAAAGAATAAGAAGAAAATAAAATTTCCACATATTGTGTTCAGCGAGCTTGTCGATACCATAAACATTATCCCGTCCAAACATGTCGAAACCTTAGTTTATGGTTGTCTTCTAAGTAATCTCTTTATCAAACTAGGTCTAGATGTTTCCCTTGATAATCCTATACCACTTCAAAACCTATCAATATCACATCCTTGAAGAAATCATATTGGAAATTGGATGAGGTGACTGGTTTATGGGCTTTTAAACCCAGTAAACAAACTCCAGGAGCTAGTTCCTGACGAGCTGCTCCTAGCTCCTCTCGTGCTCCTCCTCCTCCTCCTGTTCCGGCTTTTGACGATGATCCTAAATTTCAGCAGCTTATGCAAGACATCGATGATCACGTACCCGATGACGAGCCTGCACCGGAACCAACTCCACAAGAAGATCAAATGTCTCCATATTTTCGTTCATTTTTGGAAACATTTGATTTACGGTATGCGTCCATGGATTCGAGCTTCACATTCATTGAGTCCCAGCTCTCTACCTTGGGAGCTCGACAACAAGATATGAATGATCATTTGGATGCACTCACGCTTGAGATGAGAGCTCGTTACCCTCCTCCTCCTCCCGATCTTTCGATTGATGAATAGACTTATCTTGCTTTGATTGTTTTTGGGTTTGAACTTGAATTTAAATTGTTAAAACATTTTGGATTGTCTTTCTTTTATTGTTGGATGTTTGTTTGATGGATATTTGAACTTTTATTTCATATATATTTTGGTTTGTTTCAATATATGCATCATTTACTTTTTAGTTGAAATATGACCAATTTACCATTTCACATTCGATTTGAATATTGATTATGAACACTAATGGCTAACTCTTTTGATCTTTGATCTTAGCAGCTTAAGCTATATTAAATTAAAATGTTTAATCAATTGGCTATGTTTTTCAAAGCCTTCTTTCACTCAAATTTTGAGTCTTTTTGATTTAACAAAAAGGGGAAGAAGTGTTAAAAGTTTTAAAGGGGAGAAGTGTTATAGTAAGGGGGAGTAATTTCAAAATTGATTTCAAAACTTATTTTTCAAAGAAAATCTTAAAATTAGTCAAGAGTTTTTGTTATATCAAAAAGGGGGAGATTGTTGAAAACATTTTGATGTTTTGATATAACAAATTAAGTTAAATGAATTTTAAGATTTTACAAATGATTTTCTAAAGTATATTTGATTCAATTAATCGAATATCAAATTATTACTCCAAGTCTTTCAAGATCATTTCAAACCTTACTAAATGTGTAAAATTGTGTTTTATACTTAAACTATTTTTGAAACAATTTTCACAAAGTATTTTGAACAAAATCAAGCCTAAAATCAAATTTTCAAAGTGATGCACCGATGCACCAATCCATTCATCGATGCACCATGCAATTAATTGAACATCAAATGCATTTTATGCATCGATGCACATACCATGCATCGATGCACTAGACCATGAATCGATGCACTCAGGCTATTTCAAAACATCGAATGCATTTCATGCATCGGTGCACTAAGAATGCATCGGTGCACTCTTAGTGCACCGATGCACTGAGAGTCCAACGGTCAAAATATTTGAATTTTACACTGATGCACCGATGCATCTAGGGTATGCATCGATGCACTGACACTCTCAACTAATTTTATTAATTGTTTTCACACTTAAACGACTCTATTGGCTCCACTAATCATCCCCAACGTTCAGAATCATTTGAAGGTGTATTTAAACAAGCTTAGAAGCCATTGATTAACAACAAGAAACATCAAGCAACTAGAATCAAGAGAGAATCAAAGAGAAAGCACCAAACCTCAAGTTTGAGCATTTCAAGCCTATTTTTCATTCAATATTCATTTTGCTTTCAAGAACACTTATTGTGCTCAATTGTATTTATTCTTGAGTGTCCTTTCTTTATTCTAGAATTGTGCAAACATATTTGCCTTGTGAGGTTTTTCTTGTAAGTTTGTAAATTTGTAATCTTCTCTTTGAGAAAAGAGTGTTCTCAAGAATTGGGGTATATTCTTGAGGGAGTTGTAAGGTTATCTCTTTGGCTTCGAAAAAAAGAACAAATTAGTGAATTTGTTGGAAAATCCTTAGTGTGGATAGCTAAGGTAGTGGACGTAGACTTTGGTTGATAAAGTCGAACCACTGTAAATCGTTGTGTAATTACTTTCAATTTTCTGCAAAAACTTCCATCAAAATTTTTATTGTCAATTTACCCCACTCTTGGCCGATTCCATCGATCGATTAACTCAACATTACTTCCGTTAGTTTGATGATGTTACACGTTAATAAAAGGGTATAATTTTTTACTTTAACCTCTGAACTTTAGATAAAATGCTAATTAGGGACTATTCTATAAATTTAAAGTAATTTAGGGACAAAGTTCTAATTTACCTTTTTTTAATATTCTTTTCTTCTTCCCCTAGCTTCCCCAGTTGCGCTGCCACACACCCCTTTCTTTCTGTTCATCTTCTTCGTTTAAACGATGATTATTTTCGATAATATATATATATATATATAACCAACAATGGAATCAGACAAATCAGTTTGTTTCCGGACAAGAGAAAAGCCAACAAGTAGTATAATACTTATACAAGCAAGTGTTGACGCCTGTGCAAATTTAAAGCTGCGGATGAGTAACCTCTAAATAGCCAAAAATTTTAGCAGACAAAAAAAGTAAGCTTTTAGCTTCCATTTAAATAGCTCCAGCAATGTGGTAAGCCTGCCATGTTATAATGGCAATGGCAAAATTTTCAAACCTCTCAATAAAAGGCAAAGGAAACGAAGATATATAATTCAAGAAAATGATTCCACACCAAGAACAGTAGAACATCGAGAAACATCTTAAAGCACAAGCTAGCTAATTATGAACATCAAGTACTAAGGATTTTAGCATTGAAAAATGTCTATCAAGTAAGGTAAATGCTTACGCGGGATACGGAAGAAAACAATGGTGGAAAAGGATGGGAACAGGGTTTTAAATTGCGGTCGCGGTCGTGTTTTCGATTATTTCGGATTTACCGTGATTGCGGCCGTCGCGGACGCTATTGCGGTCGTCACGGGTAACTCGAACGGTGGCGAAACCGCTATATCGCGGTCGCGAACCATTTTTTGAAACCCTGGATGGAAATACAAGCAGCACACCCTGCGGCGTAACCTACAATCCAAGTGGACAATGGAGCTTGTGGCTTCTCATTCCTGGAAACTTCTAGAACAGCTACTGATGCAACAATCTGACTTGTATTGAAAACTAGTCTAATATAAAACCAAAAGCAAAAAGATGGTCGTTTAAACGAAGAAGATGAACATCAAGAAAGGGGTGTGAGGCGGCGCAACTGCGGAAGCTAGGGGAAGAAGAAAAGAATATTCAAAAAGGGTAAATTATAACTTTGTCCATAAATTACTTTAAATTTATAAAATAGTCCCTAATTAGTATTTTATCTAAAATTCAAGGGTTAAAGTAAAAGTTATACCCTTTTATTAACATGTCACGTCATCAAACTAACGAAAGCAAACATTTCAGTGACCACATCTTAATTAAAATAAAACGAAAGTGACTATATATTGTGTTTTTTGAATCTAGTGATCATAAGTTTATAAAACTCAAACAAAAGTGACCAACTCTATAGTTTATCCAAAATATTATTGCATCTAAAAAAACCATATTTTTTCTAAAATTACAAAGAGAAAAAAAATTATTCAACCTTAAATACTATCTCCATCATCGGTCACAACCACCATCGCTATCGCTGTCTTTGCCATCTCTTTTGTCGATTGTCGTCGGCTTTACTGTCAGAGTATAATTAAACAACAGAGGCAGTCAACGTGATTGCGTTGAATAAATAAGGTCCTTACAGTTACAGAGTTTTTCTACATAGCGATCATTCACGGTGGCGCATAAAGCTGAAAACATGGTAAAGACTCCATGATTGAGTCTTCATTTTATATCTTTGCAGCTGAAACAACAGCTTCATTTTATATCGGCGACGGGAAAGCTTGGTTTTCGGGAGGGGGTGAAAGGCATATTAAAAAAGGGTAAATTGAAAATATGTCCATAAATTGCTTTTGGCTTACAAAAAGGTATATAATTCATATTTTATTCAAATAAGAGGGGTTAAAATAAAAATTAAATCATTTTACTAACATGTCACGTCATTAAACTAACGACACTCAATGTGTCAATTATAAAAATTAAATAAAAGGATAATCAGTGGCGAAACTTGGTGATAAAATTCAGAGGGTCAACTTAAAACTTTAAAAAATTTAGAGGTTTGAATTAAAATTTTAAATTTTTTGAAGAGTTCAGTTTACATATTTTGAAAAAAAAATTGAGGTCTAATTAAATTTTTTTAAAATTTAAGAGACTTAATGAGAATTTTTTAAAATTATGGGAGGGATTTAATTGAAAATATTCAAAATTTAAAGTTTAAAATGAATTTCTAAAAATTCCGTGAAGACCAAATTATTTTTGTTGAAAATTTTAAGGGTACAAATCTGATTTTCCAAAAAATTTTGGGCCATGGTTTCCACATGTCCTCACTTAATTCCGCGTACGACGATAATGTAAATCACCAAAAATTAATATTTTTAAATTTAATTAACAAAAGCATATGAATATAAAATATAAATGATCATTCTTATAAGTTACCTAAAAATAAAAAACAAAAACAAAAAAAAACGACACTGTCCAGTGATGCATTAAAAGGGCACCTCATGTATCACCAAACCCTAAATCCCATAAAATATTTTATTATTTGAAACCTTGAACTTTGGGCCCCAAAATTTGAATATCAAAACCAGCCTTACTCTGTCTTCAAAAATCCCTCCTTTCAATTCTCCACCGTAAAGAAAACCCTAGCAAAACCCCAACTTTCATAATCCGAGTCCCATCTCCAGTACTCCCAAGAATGGGCAAAAGGAAAGTTACCCCTCGGTCCAATGACCTCAAACATCAAAACCCATCTCAGGAAAGTGAGGAAACCCATGACCCTTCCAAAGATTCAACCTTTACAAAATCTTCCAACCCTTTGAGCCGCCAATCTTCCATGGAAGATCCCAAGGAGAAGCTCCAAAATCTAAAGTCTCTCAACTCTTTACTTGTAAAGGAGGCCTTTGAAAGTAGGCAACAGATTGAGTCCTTGGTTCAAGCCAAGGAAGCTCTTGTGGCCGAGTTGGGTGAAAAGAAGAAACTTGAAGCTGAGGAGAGTGAGAAAGATTTGAGCTTTGAGTTGCAGAATGATTTGTTTTCGGTTTATATGGGGACCCAAATGGAGGAACATGGTGTCGAGATGGAAAAGATGCTTGGGGCCTTGAAAACAAAGGTGAATGGATTGATGGGGAGTCTTGAAAATGAGAGGGAAAGGCTGAGTTTGGTTTACAGAGAAAGATATTTGGCTAGGAAAAATTTCGAGTTGCAAGTGAATGAGGGTAAGTTAATGAAAGAGAGACTGATGGAAATGGAGGGAAATGAGAGGAAGTTTTTGGAAGAAATTAGGAAACTGAAAGAGGAATATGATAGGCTGGTTTGGGAGACAAAGGAGTTGGAGAAAGTGAAGATTTTGATGATGAATGATAAAGGTTTGTTGGAGAAAAACATGAAGGCTATGGCCGAGGAAGTTGGGAATTTGAGAAGTGAGAATGAAAAGATTGCGAGTGAGAAGAAAGGGATTGAGGTTGAGAAAAATGAGAAAAAATTGAAGATTGGTGAGATGGAAAAGGAAATGAATGAAGTTATATTGAGTTTCAGGAAGGAAAATGAGATTTTGAGGTCCAAGATTTTTGAGTTGGAAAAGAATAACGGTCAAGCAATGGATCGGGAGGCTGAAAGAGCTATAGAGATCGGTGCATTAGTGGAAGAGAAGAGGGCAAAAGAAAGGAGTATTGAGAGGTTAATGGAAGAAAAGGATTTCGTATCGAGATCATTGGAGGCAATAATGGTGGAGTCAGAAGATAGGCAGAGAAGGATTGAGAAGTTGTTGGAGGAAAGTGCTGCAGCTAGAGGAGTGTTGGAAATGAATGAGAAGGAATTAAAGGATGTGCATAAGAAGATTGAGGAATTGTCTGGAGATAAAACCGAGATCGAAATGGCCAAAAGCCGCGGTGAGATTGAAAATATCGAGTTACAAAATGAAGTGAGTGAGTTGAGGAATGTTGTGCAGAGGCTGCAAGAGGAATGCTTAGATCATCAAAAGAAGAACAATGAATTGATTTCTGAAGTTAGCTGTTTTAGAGATTTAGTTGATCAGGTAACACTTGAGAAGGACGATGCTTTGAAACGACTCAGTGAGGAGATGCATACTGGTGTTAACTTGAGATCGGACGTTTCAGAAATGGAGAATAAGCTCAAGAAAACTGCTGAAGAGCTGGCACAGAAGAGGACCGAGTGGCAGAACCTAATCAACGAAAAGGAAGAGATGGGGAGTCACATTGGATCAATAGCTGAAGATAAAGATAGATTGCTTAAGGAACTTCTGGAGTCAAAGAGAAGTTTCAACGATTTGAAAGCTAAAATGGAATCAACAGCCATTAATTACGAGCGCGCATTGACCCTTTTGAAGAGCACTGCCTCCATGTTATGTCAATCCAAAGATGAAAACAATCGGAAATCGATTGAAGGAGATGAAATCGGACCATATGCAATGGAATTGGAGGCAATCAAAACGGCATTCAAAGACAAAGAGACGGTGGCTCAAGACTTGAAGCAGAAAGTTAAGTTAATGGAGAAATCCATGGTGGAAACAGAAAAGAAAAAGAGTTTCTGGACTATGGTGTCTTCTGCAACAACACTTTTGGCTGCACTTACTGTTGCATATGCTGCAAAAGGACGTTGAGTGGTTTTGTTTACTGGTTAACTTCATTTTCGGAACAAGTTTTTTTCTTTACTTGTAGGATTTACTGAGAAAACTCTAATGTGACAACATGGTATGTTGTCTAGTTTTGAACTTTAGCTCAGTGATAAATAATGTGTTCTTGGACAAGTCAAGAATCATAACCTCAACGAATGTTTTTAACTGGTACATGTCAGTGCTTCTTATTTTGAGTTATATCCATCCGTGTTGTCTGTTTATATGTTATTTTCTCACATATTATAGATGAATCCAATTGATTATATATGCCATGAAATCTGTAAGTGGAAGAAAAAAGACTTAGTTGAACTAGAGCTTTCCTATAATATTTGTTCTTGGTTAATTTGATTATAATAGTTTTCACTATAATATTTGTTCCTGTAAGCATGTATGAACCAAGGAGGTGTTGGGATGTGCGGTCGCACCTCTAGAAGTTTCAATTTTTCATATAGTTTATATATTTTCTTGTATTTTTTATTGATAATCTAATTTAGCGTCTCTGAAATTTTGTCCTTAATATAAAATTCTACGATTGTCTCTGTTTGTGAGGTGAAATATCTTTATATCTATGTGCAAAACATAAGTGTGGATTTGGGTATTGAACATAGATAGTAGTTGTTTTAAGTTCTATATATCCGTTGACTGGTATGTTCTGTGATGACTAATCCCGAATATATATATATATACATGAAAATATAAGCTAAGAGCTCATAGCCTCATACAATTACAAGTGTTCATGCTTCACTTTAATTTTTAGTTTGACTTTGATTTCAGGAGATGAACCATTTGTTACTTGTTTTGTACATAGCTCCTACATTAATTGGATTTGGGTTCGAGTGTCTATTAGGTGTATATAGTCAACACGGGTTTACCTTTTAAAAGTTATTTTTTCATGTATGTGGAAATTGGAAAGTGACATCTTCATACTCATAATCCATATGGATATGCTTTAAATATGGGTGTTTACTTTGAAGAAAAATGAAGAAATTTACGATTTTCGAGGAAGATGACCGGACGACATGATTTTTCTTGAAAGATGATCGGATGACAGAATGCCTTTCAATATCTGTGTATGCCCAGTAAGACCGTGAATTTTACAAGCCGTTGTCGTTATGTAGAAGACGTGTGTAAAACACTTCGTAATTATAACGTTTTCTTTGAAGACACCTTATAATTCCGGCTTTTTCTCTGATGTACTGTTGGGATTTTTTCTTCTTTCCATTTTACTGGTTGGTTGATTTTGCCCTGTAAACAGATAAATTAAATCACCTGCTTAAATTTCCTTAACGGTTATTAGTTACGTAAATTCTCATGGATCTCCCATTAAATTGTTACATTGGGGTTCTAATCACTGTTGAAGAGTTTTAGACTAGAATTGTTGAGTTTAAGGATTTTTTTATATGAAACAGACATCAGGTTTGCATTTAGGATGTAAAAAGAAAAAGGGGAAATTTTGGAGTTCAATTGTCGTCATGGGTAACGTTTGATGGAGATCATTACTGACGATGGTCAGTGACATCTTAGGTTGGGAAGCTTTGATTGAATTTAGGGTTCAAATTGACATTTTATCAAAATTTTAAGGGTCAAAATGATATTTTATTTAAAATTTCATAGTTAAATTAGTATTCTATCTAAAATTTAGATGTCAAATAAACAATTGATCTCGTGCCACATCATCAAGCTAACGAGAGTTAATTACTCGTTAACAAAAATGTAACAATCAATAAGTGACCAAATTATAATAAATTGATAATATAAATTATTGAAGCATAATTTTATCAAAATCAATAAGTAAAATAAACAAAACTGAAACAAAATTGATCATTTCAACAATTAACCCAAGAAATTATATACTTTTCCCGCGAAATCTCAAAAGTGTAAATTATACATTTACTTACTAAATTATACAATCTTTCCTATTTTGCTCATTGTACTTTCAATTTTTTAATTTACTAAACTTTTGAATTACTCATGTTTTGATCACTCTTAATTATTTTATTATTATTTTTCTAATTTTCTAATAAAATAATTGAAAATATAAAATAAAAATAGAAGGTTGTCGAACGTCTCCACCAACCATCGTCAACCGCCATAGATGGTGGTTGTTCGATCCCAAATTTTATGGGTCTTGTTCGTCTCGACACCCTGAGTCCAAATATGTCCTCTATTTTGTTGGAACTTACTCCGAAGTCCATAAATTGAAGATCAATTGAGGAAGTCGAAACATTTCAACTGATATTCACAAGTTTTATGATATTTTCTTTTGAAACAAACATCAGATTCGGACTGAGGGGGTCGAAAGTCGAAACACACATGACCCATGCAATTTGAGACCGAACGACCACCACCTACGGCTGTCGACGGTGGTCGACGATGGCTTCCGGCCACCTTATATTTTTTATTTTTAATTAATTCAAATTAAATAATAATAAAAATGTCATAAATAAAAAAAAGAATAATAAAATAATATAAATTGATCAAAATATGAATAATTCGAAAATTCAGTGAATAAATTAAAAAAATTATAAGTACGGTGGATAAAATAGAAGAGACAAATATACAGTTCAATAAGAAATGATGTAATTTACTCATCTCAAAACTGTTTGCCACGTTGGCAATCCTCGTGGGCCTTTAAATCCACCAATCACGTTCAACCAGTATTTGCTATACATTGTACCGCTCGCATCCTTCTCTCCTCGGGTTCTTCATTGATAAATTTAAACCGATACTCACGCCATCATCGATTTTCCATTTTCTTCGACAACGAAATTTTGGGTTTGGTATATTCAAAGATGAGCCCCCCAGAAGGATCAACGAAAGGAGGGAGAGGGAAACCTAAGTCATCTAAGGCGGTTTCCAGGTCACATAAGGCTGGGCTTCAGTTTCCGGTGGGAAGGATTGCTAGGTTCTTGAAAGCCGGGAAATATGCCGACCGTGTTGGTGCCGGAGCTCCCGTCTATCTCTCCGCTGTATTAGAGTACCTCGCTGCTGAGGTATATTTTCCTGTTGTTTCAATGTTGGATTGAGGTTAATCGATTTGTGAGACTGCATTTTTTGGGGGAAATTACGATTTCATAAGATTTTGCATGATTTCAAATTATGATTGAGGTTAATCGATTCATGGTTAATTGACTCGTGCAATCACTTTTTTAAAGGAAAAAAAGGTGATTTGATGCCTACTTAGTTATTAAATTGAATTTAAGTCGTGCGATTGGTGAATCGATAAATAGAATTGTTGATTGAATTGAAATGACTTTTGTTCGGGGAATCTCATTTGAAATGAGGCTGTAATTATGATATTGATTTCAGGTTCTAGAGCTTGCTGGTAACGCGGCGAGAGACAACAAAAAGAATAGAATTGTTCCGAGGCACATCCAACTAGCGGTGAGAAACGATGAAGAGTTGAGCAAGCTTTTGGGTTCAGTAACCATTGCAAATGGAGGTGTTTTGCCCAATATTCACCAGACTCTTCTCCCCAGTAAAGCTGGTAAAAACAAGGGTAATATTGGATCAGCTTCTCAGGAGTTTTAGCCTCTCTTTTGCTTTCCTTGAGTTTTGTTTTAAACACTAGTACCATATGCAATGTTTTGCTACCTTTTTTATCCAAGCTCTTGTGATATCAAATCTAATAATTACATTTGCACCACCATCTCTCTCTAATTCTGATTATGTTTTTACTAGTTTTTATTGAATTATTTTCTCAACCAGCCACCCATTACATGTTTCTGTTTCTGTCTCTGTCATTCTCTTTCTTGTTCCCGTTCCTTTGATGTCATCATAAACTAAATATTAATCCAACACTCATCGACTATGCTGCACTAATATGAATACAGGGATGAATATGTAAAATAATTTTTTTTAAAACTACATGGTACAGACGTGATAAATGTACGGTAAGTATAAATGCATTTTAAAATTTGTAATTAATTACAAAATCACATATCAAAATTTGCGTTCAATTTTTTGCTTGTATTATTTTTGTTAAATGACTTATTGAGTTTTTTTATGTTTGATTAAGATGTTTAAGAAATGTAACTAAAATATGGTTCATATGTTAGAATGCATCACAATTTAAAAATATTTAGATCTCATCCAAAAATTTGTTGCAAATTAGTTAATATTTTAGGCTTCAAAAATAACTTCAGTTTCTTATTTTGTAATTTAGTTAACAAGTTAATGTTCAATTGAGGCTTTCAATAAATATTTTAACAAAAAAAGATAAATTTAAAACATATGAATAGTTAAGTGATCATTTTGTAACTTTTAATAGTCGATGGATTTAATAAAATAACATCTTATAGTTGAGGATTATTTTATAACTTTTAATAGATAAAGGATTCAACAAAACAGTGATGTATAGTAGTGAGATCATTTATATATTTTATCCTAAAATTTAAGATTTTGTTCTATTAAATGGATACCGATTTTATATTTAACAAGATAAAATAAATTTTGTAAAAGACTTCAAAATTTTATTGATCGTTGATGATGATAATCGATAAATGATTAATTGCTACAACTGTTAGCTAGAATCTGAAATTTGAAGTCATTGGAGATTATTAATTATCTCAGCAGTGAACAAATATGAGTTGAATCGAACTTTCACTATCGAAGGATTTGTGAATACAACGTTGAAGGTCGATGGGAGGCCTCTTACTTTTTTTTTTCTTTTCTTCCAACTGCACCTAAAATCTGGTAGGCTGTTGAAAGATGCTTTCTCAAAAGAACTAAGCTAGAGAAAATGGAGCACTAGAGGCCTATACTAAGCCTATGTAATGCCATTTACAAAGTGATTGTCAGTCCGCTCAAACCTTGTATGCTTCTCTAATTTCCAAATTCCTAGAAATTTGTCAAAGTTTAAATATAAGTTCCATCATCTTTGTTTTAATTCTGATCATAATATTAAAATTCCCTCTTGACATTATATTAAATCATTATTTTATTTTTTAAATACTTTAATTTTAATATTTCATTTTGGATTAAAATAAACTTTTATGTAAGATAAAAATTAATATGATATTATATAATGTTACATCAATAAAAAAATTATTAATTAAAATAAGGGTAAAGTATAGTAATGGTCACTGAACTTTTCTAAAGCTTTCATTTAGGTCCCCTAACTTTTAAAACTTGTAATACAGTCCCCGACGTAACTGTTGGGGGACCATATTGTAAACGGAATAAATATTGAGGGACTGTATTGCAAGTTTTAAAAGTTGAAAAACCTAAATGAAAACTTTAGAAAAGTTCAGTGACCATTACTATACTTTATCCTTTTATTTAAATTCTGTTATGCTTATACTCTTTTCTTTTGGTGACAATTAACCGATGCATATCCTCAATTAATGAAAAATTTTATATTTATTTACTCTATCGTGTATTTACTCTTTATTTTAAATGCTTAAGAAACCAAGTTTAAGTCGTTATATATCTATAATGCTTATTCATTGCATCAAAGTGTGAGTCCATAAAATTATACAAGTTTCTGGTTGACTGTGAGGGAGTAGCCCGGTACATATAAACGGATGGAGAGAAGCATCATCTCACCAATAAGGCAAGGCACACCCTCAAATGAAACGACTTTAAAATTATCAGGATATCAGCTGGAGAGTTATGAATCCCCTATAAACTTTTTTTAATATTCTACAAGCAATTAGACATCATTCAGAGGCAGCAGAATATGAACCAAAGACTGTTCCGAATCAATTCATACCACAAAATCTTGTGCTCAATGAAGGACTGAAGAACTACTTTAACCTAGGAGCACAAGAGCTTTTACTGCATAACATGAATAAAAATACACAACTACCCATTCTCATCTATATGCTTGTATTGTAAAACTAATATTAGATAAATAAATATGGATCCACAACATCCCAAAAACCTACAGCCTTCGGTGCCATCCCCGGTTAAACCCTTGATTTTTGGAGAATAATTAAAAAATGAAAACTAAACAGATTGGATGTAAACCAACTCTATACAAATGCGTCTAATTGTATAACATGAATGCATGAGAAAGCAACATTGACTGGACCCTAAGCCATGAACAAAATCATCAAGACCATTTCTCACGCTTATAGGCAAAATGGAACTAAACAATTCCCAACAGGATTAAGCAGTTAAATATCACAAGCCTAGAATAAGAAAGTTTAGCTTAACAAAGACTACAATAGAGATTCATTCAGACACGACTGGCGACCACAACAATATCTACAGGTAGCTAAAACATGATAAGCATTAAGAACCATTCAGCCAAATTCAACCATTTAATCCGAAAATCCATAATTATAACAAAAATGTTAATGTTATTTAAATATATTTTCTCAAACAAAACTTAAAGATCCCAGAAGAGATAAGAATCGAGAAACATGAAAAAAAGTATTTTAAAACTCAAACAAAGCAGGCAACTGTACGAGGAACCCTCGAGCATTGATATTTTGCTTTGCCTGCTTAGTCAAAGAGGCTGAAACCCATATCCTGCATGAAAAGGAAATTGCATTAGTTAAGCACACACCAAAATAAGAATCAATAGACAATTACAACATGAAAAAGTAATTACATCATCGGATTCTTCTTTCTCCTCGAACTTCTCCTCTTTCTTGGCCTCAGCAGCAGAAGCAGCACCACCGCCGCCGCCACCAGCGGAAGGAGCGGCAGCTGCAACAGCACCACCACCAGAAGGAACTGAAGCCAACTTCTCTCTTCCACAAGCAATTAATTCGGTAATATCTTTTCCTTTAACTTCGGACAATAGCAACTCTATCCTATCATCTTCAGCTCCAACTATAACATTAAAAAAATGAATCATTCTTTTTACCGTTCGTAATGCTAAAGAAATCTCCAATAACCTATTTCGCATAACATCATTCCCCCCACAATTTCTATTAGGGTAAAGTATAGTAATGGTCACTGAACTTTTCTAAAGCTTTCATTTAGATCTCCCAACTTTTAAAACTTGCAATTCAGTACCCCCACATTTATTCTGTTTGCAATATGGTCCCCCAACAGTTACGTCGGGACCATATTGTAAACGGACTAAATGTTAAGGGACTGTATTGCAAGTTTTAAAAGTTGAGGGACCTAAATGAAATCTTTAGAAAAGTTCAGTGACCATTATTATACTTTAACCTTAAAATAATTGTATTTCTTTTATTAAATTGAATTATGGCTTGGGGAGTGGGGAATTTAACCGCTTATTCACTTTACTAAGCTAATGGTTTGATTATTTTCTTTGACACGATATAATATTTAATTAAAAATAAAATAAAACATTGAAGACAATTTTGATAATATGTCTCAATTGTATATAGTTTTGATAATCAATTTTGAAAGAAAAAATATATTTAAATTATTTTATCAATTTGTTACATTTTAGTTATTGAGTTAATAACTCATGTTACTTTGATGAAGTGATATATTGAAAATGACTAACTTCTAATTTAGTTGTATATATTAAAAAAATTACTGAAAAAATTACTATTATCTCGATCATATATATTTTATTTCTATGAACGGAGACTTCATCTTAATTGATGAATATATTATATTTTAGGCAATGTGGTTTTTTATATAAATTTACATTTTTTTCTGAAACATACAATTATATTAATTTTAGTTGTTATTACGTTTTTTAAATTCAATATATATATATATATATATATATTATACTAGATAATTTATTTTATTTTATTTATATTAACACAATCAATAATATTTTTCTAGACTAATCACTCTTCTACTCTAGTATCCATGTTGTAGTGAAAAGGTGTTCGGTCTGTTGCTTGTTTTAGACTGCCACGGAAACAACTCACAAAGACGCATGCTTGGGATATGGCGCGGTGGTGGAGTGGTAGTCTCCTTTGTTGTTGAATATCTATAAATTTGCTTTACTTTTCAATTCACCGTGACCTAATGATTTTGAACTCGGTCTCGTCATCCACAAAAGAAAAAAAAAGTATTTTTATGAAGAATTTTCCTTCACGTTATAAATCTAATAACAATTTCACTGTCTTATTCTGATCTCAATTCCAAAACCACAAATCATAATTGCAGAATCCATTCAACATTCACACATTAGAACTAAGTTTTGTCTTCAACCTTTGTCCTCAGATCTGTTTGTGCATTTAATTAATGTAAAAACCGAACCCTAAGTCATACCGTCAAAACAATAAGAAGTCCATAGCCTGCCCCATAAAGTCTTTCCCAAATTCCCCTCTTTTTAACCTATCTCGAATACCCAGAAAGAAGCACTTCTGTATTTTTTTCCCTTCACAAAGATGGCTGTTCATTGGCTACTGATATGCCATGGACTGATAACTCTTATTGTAGTCGTCTCCTTTCTTTGTGGGCAATGGCCAATCTTCCAAGGAACTCCCATTAGCTCCATCCACCGTTTCATCACTTTTGGAGCTTATCAATACTTCCTGTACGCCCCTTTCTGCAGATTTCTTTGATGGGTTCCTTTTTATTTTTTTGGGTGACTGATTTTTGGGTTCCTTTGATTTGTTTTCAGGAAGCTTGTAGGGGCTGTTTTTGGAGACAAAGGAATAAATTCGATCCTTTCTGTTGAGTATTATTGTTGTGATAGGTCTAATCCTATCTTGCAGGTATAATTTTAAGTTAAGCAATTGAAATTGTTGAATTGAAGCCCCTGGAGATTGAGGTTCATCTCTTATCTGAAAGAGTTCGTTTTCTTGATTCTTGGCGTGTTTATGAATGGTTATGTATGAAGTTTGTATATGCGTTGTTTTGTAATTTGGAATGTTATTGTTGTAATTTGAGGTACATTAATTTGATGCTAAAAAATTGAACTATATGGTTCATTTGGTACACTACATATTAAGAAGTCCTAGGTTCGGGCCAGGACTTGAAACTTGAGCATTAACATTCGAACGTAGGAGTAACAATTGCTTGGACAAGACTTGGTTATTACATTTGATTATAAGATGATTGGCAGAGTTCTGTTTTGTCTTGTCTTATGGTTCATGGGGTTCAGTTGATTGGAAACAATGTGCAGTAAATTTGATGAATGTAGACAGTTGTCTCAGCTTGAAGTCAACTCCATTTAAATTTCATAACTCACTGCTAATGCCGCATGCTTCAAATATAACAAAACCTTCACAACATTATTGAAGCAAATTGCTTTCAGATGCGAATGGTAACAATGGATGATCTAGAAATGCGCTGCATTCTCATTTAAATATCCATTGTTGAGAAAGATGAGGTTTGTTTTATACTAGAAACGGGGGCTTTTTTTCATTCATATTAAGGTCATCCTTTTCCAACTTTCTCTTTATGACAGATTATATACTTGGCAATAATTGGATCAACTTATTACATTATAGTGAAGACGTCCTTTCAATATATACCTGGATATTATCTAAGTGGAGTCCATAGGTACGTTCTTAGAACTGAATTCTCTGCTGTAACCTGATTCTTCAAAGTGATTGTTTTTGTTTTTGCCACTCATAATTTTTATATTTTTTCAGGTACACGAGTTTGTTGGCAGTTGCAATTGGGATTCTGCTCTTTCTTTTGACTAGCTTTTCAAATCCAGGAACTGTGACGGTTGATAACGTTTCACACTATCTATCTGTTTATCCTTATGATAATATCATATATACAAAGAAAGAATGCTCGACTTGTAAACTTCCAAAGTAAGTTCATTGTATTGGTTTCATATCTATTGATGTGGTTTTTTAATTCTCTAAAATGTAATCAGATTATTCTTTTGATCAAGGCCTGCCAGATCCAAGCACTGCAGCATATGCAATCGATGTGTTGCCCGCTTTGATCATCATTGTGGGTGGATGGTATGACTTCTTCAACTGTTATTTTTCCTTTTTCTTCTTTATTGTACTTCGTGTAGCGAATTGTTCTATATACACTCATGTTTAAAATATCTGATTCTTATATCTACTTATGATAGTGTTTACTTATTTCAGAATAATTGTATCGGGGAAAGAAATACGCGATACTTTTTGGCTTTTCTTTTATGGTGAGTTTTTCACTATTTATCAACTGCTAGCAATCTGTATTTTGGTTTTAGTTTTTTTAATTGTTTTTTTCATTCTTCGGCCAGTAATGTTTTCATGGGGAACATGATCATCCTCTAGTTACTCGATTGAAACCACCATTAACTTTGACTGGAACTTTACAACAATCAGATTTCCATTACTACTGAAGTTGCTTTTGGTTGGAGTGATTATCTAAATCTAGTAACTGACCTTGAGTTTTATCTGTTAATACGAGTCGTTTGTTCATTCCTAGCTTTCTTTGAGATCAAGAAAACTTCTCCTCCTTTTCTTCCCTACATGTCCGTGCTCGACTTGTTCCAATGTACAAGCTTAAAAAATAAGCTATTATCCGCTTCTAGTTTAAAAAAATCATGTTAAAGTCATATTAAGTGTTCTGCAGGCATTTCCTTATTTGCATGTATGCAACAATTGCTATTGGATTGGTTCTCGCCGGAAGATTAAAAGAATTGAAAATTGTATACATTTTAACAGGTAATATCAATTCAGGCTGAGGTTTTCTAACTTTTCTTAATGTTTTACTGGCTAAACTTTCTGTGACATTTTTTTTGCCAGTTTATTATGGTGTAGAAAATTCTTTTCGCAGTTTAGCCCCTCATATCATACAGGTGAGTGTGTTGTTTTTGAGATATCCTCTTCTTTACATTTAGGGTATTTCTGTAGATATATTGAGTTCAATACATTGTTTTTCGGTTTTATGCAGTGGCTGTTAGGTTCGTATAACAGCCAAATACTTCTTATGGTGTTTATGGCTATAGTTTCGCTCTTGTTGGCGGGTTTCTTTGCATATCATGCTAAGCTTTGTCTGACAAACACCACAACGAATGAGGTGAGATCTGCTTTTACCTTGTTCTATTATTTGTTTTGTTACCTCAAAATAACGTTGAGAGCACTCCTGATTAATTTGATGCCCGGCCTTGACCGAACATAAACCCAGAAATTCTTTACCATGCCAAGTATTACGATGTTAATAAAAACATGAAACTAGAGTAAAATGTTCTCATCTGGCTGATGCAACCCTTAATAGAACATAAACCTGGAAATCCTTTGCTATGCCGATTATTAAGTTAATGTAATCATAAAACTAGAATTTAATGTTCTCATCTGTCTGGAAATGCAGACGTTCAAGTGGCAAGACTATGTAAGCTGGCAGAAGAAACTGAGTGAAGCACGAGCGAGCTCGGTAGCATTGAAAGCAAGCATCGACAGGATGGATAGCGAAAGAAAGCCTCCAGATAACAAATGCAAATCCTTCTTCAGAAGGTCCCCTCTAGAGAATACTGAAGCAGTTGCGAAGAACAATGTGTATGATAAAGGATTCTTTCACAATTTGTATGAGGTCATTTTTCCGGTCCCAACAAGAGCATCGCATTCGCATACCAAATCAAAATCTGGCTAAGGTCGTCAACTGTTGATTACAGGTTCATTCTTCACCCGAACTCCGCATCCCAGTCAATATTTTACTTCTTGTCACCATGTTATAAGCCAGAGATTCAGGATGGATTTAAGAGCATGGTCTATATTGTACAGCTTCCTGATTGCTCGGTATTATCGTTCGGTAGTCTATATATGTCAGTTGTATTTAAGTTCATTTTGATGATTAGGTACTACAAAGTAAAAAGATCACTATTTTCTCTTTAAAGTGATTTAAAATGCATGGAATGTTAATAAGAAAGAATCTATCCATGACCATATTGGAGACAAAGGAATATATATATAGTTAGTTGTTTATGAATTGGATTTCCTGCAAGTGCTTCTCCTATGTTTGTTTCACTTCTAACAGCATAATGGACCTTTGGTGACCCCACATTGTTCTTATTTATAGCTAAAGCACCAAAGATGCAATCGAATTTTGTTTTATTACATATGTTTGTGTTATTTTTACATGTTAATAATTATGTTTAAAATATTAAATTTTAGTGTGCTGCTGCTATATTAATATATTTTCAGGTGGCGTATCTGTATATTATCCAAAAATTATGAGAATATTCTGTCATTGGAATTTCAGTTAATATTATAGAAATAGGAAGGTAAATGGAAAAGGGTTCCATATTTGATGAATTTAGTGGGTATAATAATACCCACTTTATTCCATCAACTTGGTTCCTTGACTACGCATTTTAGAATAAAACAGAGCCTAAGTGATTGGAGCTCAAATGTCATCTCATTTTCTTTTGGTCACTTGCAACTTTTGTATACAACAATTGTACATGAAGATCGAGTGGATGAAACGTAGGACTTAGTGGGTGGTGGCACTTTATTCATATGCTCCTTATCTCATACTAATGCTTTCAAGGTTACAACAATTCTCTTAACTTGCTTTAAGTTTGTGTGGTGGGATTTTTTTTTATGATGATAATAGATGACCAATCAGGTAGGGGATTTCATGAGTTTCTATTCAATTGATTGAATCACATATATTCTCATGTCCTTTGATCCCATCATATTTCACAAGCAAAGATGCATACAAGCACATGTTAGTTTATATATTTGCTTATGTACTTAAAAGTGTAGATAGATGGTAAGTTTGTAGTACCTGCGTTGTTGGGTATTTTCTAACGATCTTGTTAGATTTTTGATAGCTTAAATGAATGTTAGAGAAATTTAATGTTCAAAGCTTCGTATTTGTTTGGATCAAGACTTGGTTTGTAAGTTTTTTTTTGGTTGCCTTCCTGGTTTCAAGGTTTCGTCCTGACTAATCTAGATCGACCAATGTCGCACACTTGGTTTTGGTAGGTGAGTCTCCCAGTGAAAATTTTCTATATACACAAGACCTCGAACTCGATAATATGTATGCACTTTCAAAAACGAAGGTATGTAAAAAAAGTTATACTAATACTTTGGAATTAGTCTACTAACAGTTTCCATTATTAAAATGTAATAATTACAAGTTAATGTATACTGAAAACCAAGTTTTTGACGTGATGATACAATATACCACTAGTTTAAATTGATATTTTCTTTTAATCTTTAAAAAAATTGATACCCTCGTTCACTTTTTTTAACTATCAAATAACATAATATTATTGAATGAGGAGAAAATATAACAAATTATAAGAGAAGTCTACAAAACTAGAATAGATTAAGATCCTATTCTGCATTCTTTTTATTTTCTTTGAAAAACACTTTTCAAAAGTACTTGTACCCCACATTTTCCAAAGACAACGTCAAACTAGCACTTGAAAAAAAAAATAAGTTATTTTTCCTAAAATCATCAAATGATACAAACTAGCCATTAAAAAAAAAATAGTATCATACAAGAAGAAAAAAAATAGAAACCTAATTATATAACTAGAAAGATGATGCAAACCTAATTTTTGACGATGAAATATAAACACTATCAATATTAAAATAAAAAATATATATATAACAAACTAACAACAATGTCATCTTAATAAGTTAAATTTATCACAATTCAACCGCGATACATCTCTACTAATTACAGCATTTATTAATAAAAGAAAATTAACCTAAAGATTCAGATTAGTGATAGATCAACAAAATGGTCAAATGTACACATATCTATCAAATTTTAAGTTTTAATTAATATCAAATATGATATACAGATATATTTAATTTCTTATACATTTTAAAAAAATCAATATCTAAATGTCGATCAAATAAAAAATTCAAATATCTTTATGCATGTTAAAGAAATTGAATGTGATCTGCTCCACAAACTGGCAACTTTGAACACTAATTTGTCAGGGATAGAAGACTGTTCAACTCAGTTGATTTTTCTTTCTTCTGATTGACCTCCACTAACTTTAAGCATAAGCAAATGGGTTTTGCGTTGGATTCACGTCCTTGAAACATCAGTTACCAAAATCTTGTGTTTTGTTTTTGTATATTCAGAAATAACTTAGATTGAATGTGAAGGAAGATGGTTCTGTCTGGTGCAAGGAAAGCATCATATTCTTAGTACTCTATTTATTATCCGTAATCCACGGTCTGTCAGGAACAAATATTGTATTTTCTCATGCATATATATTTAACTTTTCAAAGAGATTTCTTTTATGTATATTTACCCTACTTTAATTATATGTAGAACACAAATAAAGGCCCAGATAACACTAGTAAACTATTATATTATACAAATAACACTGTTCAAATCAAATATAAATTAAAAAAAAATGAGTGTTTTTTGGATTACTAATATTTTTAATTTTTTAAAAGATAAAAATTTCAAAAATAAAAATAAACATGACACGTGTTACGTATCGGTCTTTTTAAACGGTTGTTAACGGTGTATGCACTTAAAAGTGTAACGTTATAAACATTAGACAATTATTTTGATAGAAAATTCTTTAAACACCTAAAATTAACTTAGAGTATAATTTGGATGCTAATTTTTTGCATCAAACTGTTTTATTTAAAAGAGTTTTATTTTACGTAGAATCGTATTACGTGTCTATATTCATGTCATGTTGAGTAATTGGTCGATAAAAACATGAAACTATTTGTGTATTTACAATTTTGGAAAGAATAAAAATTCGGAAGGAATAGGATTCTGGTTCTCACATTGCTTATTTAATCTCAGATTCAGAATTAAACTTTGGCTTATGTTTCGCTACTTTGTTTCAACCTTGTATCAAAATTTTAAGTATCTCAGGTATGACCCTTCATAGCATGTTATATATGTATAACCTTCTCTTTACTCTATCTTGTGTTCTTAAATATAGAAATCTCAATTTTTGGGATAATTTTAATCATATTTCAGTAATAAACAGATTTGAATAACTGTTAAATATAAATATGAATAATATATATTTTACTATTTATACCACATTTTTTCCCGTGAACCTTAGAATATTTTTCTTTGATTTTAGTTCCATGGATGATGGATGTGTTAGTGTTTATCGATTCATACACTAAAGGTATTTATAAAATTTTAGTTGTCTAATAAAAAACATAAAAGAAGAAGAAGAAGAAGAAGAAGAAGAAAGACTTGATTCATGGATAAGCAATATTCGACATAGCCAGCCTTATATGACATGTAGTCCATATCTAAGCCTTTAGTCTACAGAACTTTCCTAATATATGTTATGTTTTTATATTTTATTATGTATTGTAGCATTTGACATTATCCAATATACCCATAAATTAGTAGTTGGATAGAGATAAGGTTTCCAGTTATGCTACTTGAAAATATTTTATATAATCGAAGTTCATCTCAATCTGGAAGTTGCTTACTAAGGCTTATTCAGGTTCATGCATCTTAATTTTTAATTTAATTTCTTGAAAGTTGGGATATTTGATTTAGATAGGTTGGTTTGGTGAAGGCTAAACTTGTTATTTAAGAGATAAATTAAAGTTTTTTTTATAGATGTAAAAATGAGAATATAATTGAAAAATAGAAAAGAAAAGAAAATTAGGACTACAATGACTGTAATAATAGAACAATTACAAGTCTACATTTTTTATGCTAACCATTTTGATATAGACATATGTCTGTGAGTTTCAAAATATTATATAAACTGACTCAACATCCTCACCTTGGATTTCAGTAAACAAGAAATCTGACTTTCTGACTTTTTCTTTTCTTTTCCTTCTTTTGTTTGGTTCTCGAGAAAGTTTAAACAGGTAAGAAGAGCGATGAATGCATTAGTGGCAACCAACAGAAACTTTAAGCTGGCAGCCAGGCTTCTTGGTTTGGATTCTAAGCTTGAAAAGAGTCTGCTCATTCCTTTCAGAGAAATTAAGGTGATTTAGTTTATCTGAAGTCCAAATAACAGAGATTTCCGGGTGTAATTGATCTTGGCAACAACTTGCAGGTTGAATGCACCATACACAAAGACGATGGCACTTTAGCTACTTTTGTTGGATTCAGGATTCAGCATGACAATGCTAGAGGACCCATGAAAGGAGGAATCAGATATCACCCCGAGGTATTCTAAACACTTATGACTGAATCGAAAACATTCCCGAATTCGAGTGCTGAAATTGGTATTCGAACAATGCAGGTAGACCCCGATGAAGTGAATGCATTAGCACAACTAATGACATGGAAGACTGCAGTTGCCAATATCCCCTACGGTGGGGCTAAAGGTGGGATAGGATGTAATCCGGGAGAGTTAAGCAAATCCGAACTACAACGCCTTACTCGAGTTTTCACCCAGAAAATACACGATCTTATTGGCATTCATGCCGATGTTCCAGCACCGGATATGGGCACAGGTCCACAGGTACAAATATACTCTTCATCCCAGCATGGATATTTGGTACATAAATTGGTAATGGTATTTTTTGCCTTTTGTTGGTTAACTACAGACAATGGCATGGATACTAGACGAGTACTCAAAATTCCATGGCCATTCACCTGCTGTTGTCACTGGAAAACCAATTGTAAGCAATTTAACTTCATATTGTATTTACACTAGTTTTAAGTAGACATAATTTTTATTTTATTCCCTGTAGGATCTTGGAGGATCACTTGGCAGAGACGCAGCCACTGGCCGAGGGGTACTCTTTGCAACAGAGGCTCTTCTTAATGAACATGGGAAGTCCATCTCTGGACAAAGATTTGTAATTCAGGTACAATTTTTTGATGCCAAAAAAGGACTAATTTTTGACACCAGAGTTGTTCAAAAATGGCGTTTTTCATTTTCAGGGTTTTGGAAATGTTGGATCTTGGGCAGCACAACTCATCCATGAAAAGGGAGGGAAGATTGTTGCAGTAAGTGATATAACAGGGGGCATCAGGAACAGCAATGGCATTGACATTCCCAATTTGGTCAAATATGTCAAAGAAAACAAGGGTGTCAAAGGCTTCCATTATGGAGATTCCATCGATTCAGAATCCATTCTTGTTGAAGACTGTGATATACTCATCCCGGCTGCACTTGGAGGCGTTATCAACAGGTAAACGATCGTCGGAATTCAAACTCAAAACACTTGCTGTCAGATAATTAAACTACGGATACAATTGGTTCTAATAGTTTAACTTTGATCTTTAATGAAGGGGAAATGCAAATGAGATCAAAGCGAAGTTTATAGTTGAAGCTGCTAACCATCCCACTGATCCAGAGGCTGATGAGGTTAGTGCCTGTGATCTTAAGTTAGCCAAAAAAAAACCCCCAAATTATTTACTTTTCACTTTTTTTTTTTCAGATTCTATCAAAGAAAGGGGTGATTATTCTTCCAGACATATATGCAAACTCTGGAGGAGTCACTGTTAGTTACTTTGAGTGGGTTCAGGTATCCCCTTTCTCAAATCATGGACATAAGCAAATGATAGCACTTATCAGATGCTAACTGGTCATGTTGGATTGCAGAACATTCAAGGTTTCATGTGGGATGAAGAGAAGGTGAACAATGAGTTAAGGATGTACATGACCAAGGGGTTCAAAGATGTTAAGGAGATGTGCCAAACCCACAACTGTGACCTTCGAATGGGAGCCTTTACCCTCGGGGTTAACCGCGTTGCTCGGGCTACTGTTCTTCGAGGTTGGGAAGCATGAGAATGCAAATTGCTAATGCTGCTGGTTTTCGAATAAACATGGAGGCTACTATGAACCTCCTAATTCTTGTCCACTATTTTGGTAAAAGCCTCATTTACATTGAGGAGCTTCAAATGAAGTTTTGTCATTTGTATTTCTTGCTTTAATGTTGAATTCTACCTTAGTGCATGCAATCATCGGATTATAGACCTAGCAATTTTGAGGACAACACAAAATATCATGAACATAATTCTAAATATTGAATAAATATATGCTAAACATAGGGTAAAAATGAGCACAAATTGACGACAAACTATGCAAGTGCAAACTTCAACAAACCATGAATGCCAAATTAAAGCATATAAGATTCTAGAGCACATCTGAAAACAACTCCCGGACATAATCACCAATCCTATGAACTGAAGCATGACAATTTTCGGACATGGAAGACAAGGATAGCAAACATACTTTGGTTGTGGAAGAAATCTTGCAAACCAGCTTATGCAAAAGTTGAAGCAAAGACAAAAGAAGAAGCTTGAGTGGAAGCAAAAGCATTAATCAATTTTTCATTGAGATATCAGATATAAGAAAAAAAAATACACTAACTTTCGCCTACTACAAGACTTAGCAGTCAGATCGGCGACTCGGACAATATATTTTCCAACAGAATGTCTATAGAAAAGCATATTCAAAATAACCATAAAAACTTGCCATCAGGGTTTCAAATCGTGGCCGCGGTCGCGTTTTCGGTCATTTCGGATTTACCGTGATTGTGGCCGTCGCGGGCGCTATTGGGCGCTATTGCAGGTGTAGCGGGTAACGCGGACGGCGGCAAAACAACTATTTTGCGGGAGCTATTACGTTTTCGGACCATGATTTGAAACCCTGCTTGCCATTTCCAAAGTTTCAGACTTCAGACAAGGAGTACAAGATTGCAAGTACTACAGGCACACACTAACAAGTTTCTCTTTATTCTTTACATGCAAAGAAGTCTAAGGTAGGAGAAGGGATAGTTAAACCTTAAACCCCAACACTGTGGAGAAAGGGAACTGCTTGACTGTGTTAAAGCTATTAACGATGTTTACTTTTACGAAAATCATTAACTTTTAGAGCAACTTAAGTCTATCCACAACGATGTTGCAATTTTCTCGAAACTTACACCTCTAAGACATATGACCTCCGCTAACTACCATGTCCTCAGCTTGTCCAAGGTTCCAATTCTTCAATATTTTTGTCGTTGTGATAATCTGGTAACTGATTCCTACATAATACAACGGCAATACGTATTCAGCATTCATACATTTGCGTTGACAATTTAGATTCCTTTATTTAATTTGAAACAGGATTTCACAAGGTACGGGCTGTAAAAAAATTCGAGATGGTTTAGAATTTCATGAAACCATATGCAAAAGCCAAAATTCTATACCTTTGCATTTCCGAGTTTGGAACTTCTGCCTCTGCCGAACTTGAGCCCACCTCTATTGAAGGCATCTATGAATCAAACATGGAAGGAATTATTGCATGCAACAATAATTGACTGTTTACCATATATAGAAGATACTCCCTCCCGTTTCTTCCCCCCATTTTCTTTACATCACCTTGACATTATTCGGATTTGAAGGTGAAATCTCTTTCTCAAGCAGCTTTTCATGCTAAAGGGAGAAAAAAATTGCTGAGATTGAACTTCATTAGATGAGGGGAAAATTCATAGGTGAAAATATACTCACTTTCAACTTCTCAATTCGTCGAATTTCGTCCATAACAATTTGCTGCCGATGAGTAGCTTCAGAAACTGAGAGCTTCTGAATCATATCTGGATAGTAAGACCTTACTCTCCAATAATAATTCGAAGCAGAAAACATATCAAACAAGAAAGGTTTTCACAAGCAATAGTCAAGATTCCCAGCCTTAACTCATAAAAAAAATTGACCTCATCTTTTCCTCAGCTTCAATTTTTTTCCGGTTGAGGTCGGAGAGTTTACTCTCGAGTTCCTACCAAACCAAAAAGACAACTGGAAAGTTATGGGAACTATCATTTTTAGTGAGCAAAAGAACAGCAAGTTATTCAGAGTTTGTTTACCTCTATGCTGAACATGCATTGCGTTAACAGCCAATAGATCATACGATGAAATGAAAAGAACGATGGTGAGATAGAAATAAATTAAAGCATAAAAAAAGAATGCATGTTTGGATTGAAAGAGAGACAGCATGTTACCTTCCCATTTTATCCAGTATTTCTGCTTCATACTTCAAATGCTTCAAGCTTTTGCGCAAGAACTGTAAGCACAGGCGATATACAACATAGTAGGAAGACAAAAACAGTCTTAGAAAATGAGGCAAATGAGAGAATGAAAGAGAGATAGGCTACCTCAAGGTTTTTGAGTGGTCTGACATAATTTGGGGATAACCAGGGGCAGAACAAAGACAAGGACAGATACAAATGTATTAGTAAACCCTTAGCTTCACTATTTGTGAAATCTTTTATGAATAAAAATAGCAAAGATCATCAAAACATATTATCCACGTTCATCACAACAGTCCAATATACAAAGAAAGATATCCTCAATCCTATAGAGGGCATGATAATTTTTTTCTATCACAAGATGCATTTAGAACTCAAAAACACAAGAATATGGAAAGAATAACATAAATAACATTATTATCTATTAGAGACTCTTCATCACCTTCCCTTGCTAGTAAAACTAGTAAATTGACCTGTAGGAGAAAACATCATAAGTCCAACATCGATATCACTTAACATAGATAAGTCAGCAGCCCTCCTGAGAATGCTATCCCTACATTTTATAAAGTCATATGACGAGATCAAGAATTGTCATTTTTCTTCTTCTTGTGAACCATGATCAAAGGAAATTGGATAAGAAAATGAAGAAAGAAAGAAGAAAATTGATGTAGACTACAAAGAAAAATGGAGTTTATATAAGAAGGGAAGAATATGAATTAAATTTTTGGGACTATGCAGGAGGGTAAAATAGGCATGGTAATATGACAATTGTAGAAAAGGTCCCTTGATCATAATCACTAAGGGTACGTTTGATTCACAGAATGTAAGATTACAAGTGGGAATAAAAGATTACTAGGGAATATGATTACTGAGAATGTTGTATTTTGTGTTTGGTTGGTTTAGTAGGAATGTAAGATTACCGTGTTTAGTTAAAGGAATAAAAGATTATTCGAATATATATTTGACCAAATTGTCTTTATTATATATTTGTATAATATTACAAGTTGTAAAATATTTATATATTTTCTTTAAAAAATTAAATTCATAATATTTATATATTTTTTTTACAAAATTAAAAATATAAAAAAGGTTTAATGAAAGGGTAAAATTTTGTTTTAACCCCTGAACTTCATATAAAATTTAAATTATAGACTTTTTTTGTAAATCTAAAATAATTTAAAGATAAATTTGTAATTTAACCTTCGTAGAATTTTTATTATTCAATGACAGAAGAACGATATTTTTGAAAAAAAAAATAAAAATTTAAGGGCATTTTAGTCTAAAACTCCGGTAACGTTACAATACCTAAGGGAAGGGAGGTAATGACATTCCCGGTAATATACCCCAAAAAATCTACTATTGGTAATAAAACATTACCGGGAATGACATTCCCGGCCAAACCAAACGGGGGAATGTGGATTCCATTCCCGGGGGGAATCCCACATTCCCCCATCCAAACGCCCCCTAAGAGATTTTCTTTGGCCTGATAAAGCTTCCAGAGTAAATTGTATATATCCTTGAAGTTAACTATGTAACCCCCTAAACCCGGCCTATACGTTTCGACTAAGTTTAGTGGATCACATTCATGATTCTTAAAGATATTTTTCCGAAACCATTATTCAATCAAGGTAAAATCACATATAAATGACGTTTATGAAATTATAATAATTTATACTATAAAAACACAACTCATAAATATAATGAAAAAAATAATAATTTAAACATGTTTTAAAAATCCAAATTTACGATAACCCAAATATAAATAGCAAAGGAGTAATCATTATAAAATACAATACTTTAAAATAAGGCATATGTTACCAACATAGAGTCAACTTAAAAAATAACACGTTACAATACGATATACTTCAAGATATATGTTGATCCTCCAAGTGCTCGATCAGGTGTATCTAACCAACAGTATCTGAAAGGGGAAAACATTTTCAAAAAGTGAGCTAGGCTCAGTGTGTCCCAACATTACTATAAAATCATGATAGATACACTAAACAAATCATAGTCCAATAAATCTTATAAAATTATACTGTAATAAATCTAATAAAAGAGTTACCCTAAGGGAACATCTTAGGGCCTGAGAGCCTACCCAAGATAGATTTCGGGGCCATGGGGCCTACCTAAGAACACATCTTAGGTTCACAGGGCCTACCCGAGAATGATCTCAGGGCCGTAGAGCCTACCTAAGAGTCACATTAGATCCGTAAAATTTTCCAGCTTGATCAAAGTTGTACTTTATAAATTCGTATTCCAAAAATTCAATTGCACCGTGACATAAATTTCATAAATCCATAAATATGGTAATCATATACCATTTCAAAACAAAAATCAGATAGCAGTCATAATCCATAAATCATCACATTAAATCGGTGCATCAATAAAACAGTTCAATAATAAATAGGGAACACACCTCGATAATAGGTTCAAATAGTATATCTACTGATTGCTGGTCTCATCACGCTCCGCTACAGTTTTCGAACCTAATTCATAATAACACTATATTATTAATGGGTAACATAATTAATCTCTAAAATCATAAAATTTACGGGTCTTACGGGTGAATACTGGAACACGTGGTTTCACTGATCTAGAGGAGCTGAGTCGAGCTATCGAAAGATCATGATAGTCTCTTGTACCTTCAAACAATAATAATTTATCAGTCTCAAGTCTTACTTAATTGTTCAAAGCTAAAATTCTTAAGTATATAAGCATTTTCCAGGTTTGACTATCAATTTGGACGATTTCGAGTCTGAATTTGACCAAACGAATTGCGGAATCGGAATCAGGACGTCAAAAAACATAAAGTATGACTTTTCAAAAATTCAAATTCTTGGTCAAAATCAAAGTCAACGGGTTTGACTGATGATTTGGAGGTCTTCGGGTTTGAATTTAGCAAAACAGACTTTGGAAACGGATTCGGCACGTCGAAAAATGTCAGAATAGGTATACTCAAACAAAATCAATGGTCGTTTAAAGCCAGTCAAAGTTATGATCAAAGGGGTTCAATAGTCCACATTCGAAAATTACAAAAATAACACCTTTTTAAAAATAATTACCAAAATATCACCATTTTAAAAATAATTCCCAAAATATCACCATTTTAAAAATAATTCTCAAAATATCACCGTTTTAAAAATAATTCCCAAAATATCACCGTTTTAAAAATAATTCCCAAAATATCACCAAGTCGGGTCAACGGGTCGGGTCCGGTCGGGTCCGGTCGGGTCAACGGGTCAGGTCGGGTCAAGCCGGTCAACCTAAGCTATCACCCGTCCGATTCTTCCCCACGTGCAGGGACGGCGCGAAAATTCCAAAAATTCTTTTAAGCGATTTTGAGTCACTTACCAACCTCGGTTCAAATTTTTGAATGGTAGAGAGCTCAATTTCAACTCGATCGAAACTTTGACCGCTTCTCCTCCCTCACGCGCCACCGCCTACGGAGACAAGGAGGACACCGTCGGACTCACAACGACACAAGGAACACGATGATCAACGATCGGAGATGAATTTAAGATTTTCTTGGTGGTGGTGCTAAAAAAAAGTCGAGACTTTGACTCGAAATTCACGTCGTTTGGCAGCGTTTCACTATAATTGGTTTATTGGGTTTTGATCACGGGTCGAAGATGAACACGATGGTGGTTTCAATTTGACGATCGGATGTCGAACGGCATCGGGATCGAACTTGAAAGAAGGTTGTTGGAAAAGGAATTTTATGAATTGGTTTTCTGTGTTTTCACGCAGAAACCAATTAATTTCCTTTAAAAGAAAAGCTTGTCGATACTCAAAGGTATAATTCAGGGATTGGTCATTGAATTTTCTTCAACTTCTAAAAATGACTTCAAATTTTCAAAACTTCCAATTTAATCCTCAAACTTTGCCAAATTACTTAATTAATAATAATTTTTTTTCTTCAAATTTTTCCGGGTTGTTACAATTCTCCCCCTCTATAAGAAATTTCGTCCTCGAAATTTACCTCATGAGAATAGTTGAGGAAACTGAGCCTCCATTGGCTCTAATGTCTCCTAAGTAGCTTCAGAGGGGCCTCGATTACTCCGCCTATTCCGAAGAACTCGCTCATCACTTTCTAAGATCTGAATGAGCTCCTCCTCATATGACAAATCAGTCCTCAGCTCTACCTCCTCAACCTGAATAATGTGACTTGGATCTGGACGGTATCGCCTCAACATTTATACATGAAAGACATCATGAATACGACTGAGCTCATTGGGCAACTCAAGCTGATATGCAACAGGTCCTATCCTCTTCAAAATATGAAATGGTCCAATAAATCTTGGACTCAATTTACCCTTACGCCCGAATCTCAGTACTTTCTTCCACGGAGATACCTTCAAAAATACATGATCTCTAACCTCAAACTGAATATATTTTCTCCTTTGATCTGCATAAGACTTATGTCTATCAAATGCCTCTTTCATACGGTCACGGATCAATTTGACTATGTCCTCCGTCTCGCGAACTAACTCAGGTCCCAAAGTCTTCCGATCACGCAACTCAGTCCAACAAATCAGGGTGCGACATCTACACACATAGAGTGCTTCGTAGGGTGTCATACGAATGCTGGTCTGATAACTGTTATTGTAAGCAAATTCAGCCAATGGCAAAAAGTTCTCCCAGCTACCATGAAAATAATTTACGCAACCCCGCAACATATCCTCCAGAATCTGAATCACTCTCTCAGATTGACCATCAGTTTGTGGATGAAAGGATGTACTATAATCCAATCTTGTTCCCAAAGCCGTATGTAGCGCCTTCCAAAATCTCGAAGTAAATCTCAGATCTCGATCAGAAATAATAGACAATGGAACACCATGCAATCTGATAATCTCCGAAATATACAATCTCACCAGCTTGTCCAAAGTATAATTTACCTGTACAAGAATGAAGTGAGCTGACTTTGTAAGTCTGTCAATAATCACCCAAACTGAATCCTTTTTCGAAGGAGTCATAGGTAAGCCGGTAACAAAATCCATAGTAATACGCTCCCATTTCCATTCAGGAGTCTTGATAGGCTGTAACAAACCTGATGGATGTTGATGCTCTGCTTTAACTTGCTGACAAGTCAAACACCTAGCCACAAAATCCGAGATGTCCTTCTTCATGCCGACCCAATGATACCTCTCTCTCAAATTCCGGTACATCTTATCTCCACCAAGGTGCATAGCATATGGACTACTGTGGGCCTCATTAAGAATAATCTGCTTCAACTCAGCATCATCAGACACACAATATCGACCCATAAAGCATAAAAATCCATCATGATCAAG